AATTTAATTTTTTTGGTAGAAATATTTAGTATTTTATTTCTTATCGGAGCGTAAATATTCTGTCTCAGATAAAAGAAAAATAAAATCGAGTCAGTAATCCACTGTCTATGATTCTTCAAGCTTTAGATCTGAAGTTCAAGGAACCCCCAGAACCCAAAAAGTAATAAATCTTTTCTCGGCGTTCACGATCACTACATACCTGTACGGCCTATGGGCTTACGTGGGATTCACGCTTTTTATTTATTTTTTGTTTATTTCATTTTTTCACATCGTCTTCGGGTCAATCGAATCATGGTTGTATGTAGGGGTCCAATTGCGAGTCAAATTATCAGGAAATACTTCAACTTGTCCTTCTTTTATTTTTTTGCTATATCGAAATTAATAGGCGCTTATTTCCTTATACGATCGCTGTATATTATATAAAAGGTTCGAAAATTAAAGGAATAAATAAAAACTAAAAAAAAAAATGTTTTTATCGTTTGTTATTCAGTAGTTAATAACATTGTAAATGTTCTTATTTAAATTTGGAAAATCTATTAGTATTATGAATATTTCCTTATATTAGTTTTAGTTTACAAAGTATCTTATTATCCGAATAAGTTGTTTCGAACATTATTGCAAGAAAACTACTAGAATAAAATAAAACAATTGTTACCATGGGGAGCAGTTTAATGCGTATATTAGAAGTGAAAAAAAAATTAAATAAATAAAGAATTGAAATACAAAATGAAAGGTGATAATTTTTTATGAGATAAATTTCAGCTATTTTGGATCAAACTAATTCAAAAATCAATTGATTATTAAACCGTGTATTAAAGGTAAAGGCATTTCTTTTTCCAAAATTTAACACTTCACAATTATTTTTTGGAACAATTCAATCAGATTTTTAACTCTGCCCATAATTTGAAATTGTGTGCTACCTAATTAAACTGTATTTTCTCCATGAGTTATAAAGCTTCAATTCGTTTCTTATGATAGCAAATACATTTAAGATGTATTTGCTAAGATGTCTATGTTGGTTTTAAATAGTGGATGCATTTAAAACGCTTGACAATCCAGAAAAAGTTAAATGAAAAATAATAATACACGTTTAAAGGCTTTATTTTTAATTAAGCTCAATTATAAAGGGGAAAAAGACTGTATACTAAGTATAAACTTAGTTTATTATAATATTTATTTAAATTTTAAACATACAGCCGTACCTGAATAGTTACAACGTGTGGTTTTCCTTCCTTATTCATTAGTTTGTCGTAAAAAAATTCCGTATTATATTAGTACTTCAAAAAGTAACAGCACTCAGGGTGCGGGTACTTTTTCCCGCAAAATCCATTTTTACCGGAGCATGATACGGCACACAAAATCTGATATACCGTAATTTTAACAGCAATAATTACCATGGGTTCCCAGAATCACTCTTATTAAATTAATAATACTTAGTCCATTATAATATTTATTTACACTTTAAAAGTACAGCCGTACCTGAATAGTTACAACATGTGGTTTTCATTTTATATTCATTATGTCGTAAAAAAAATTCGTATTATATTACTTCAAAAAGTAACAGCACTCAGGGTGCGGGTACTTTTTACCGCAAAATCCATTTTTACCGGAGCATGATACGGAACACAGAATCTGATATACCGTTATTTTAACAGCAATAATTACCATGGGTTCGTTGAATCACTCTCACTAATAAGTAATACTGTAAAAATTGCGACATAATATTTTACAGAAAATATGGATTTTACGGTAAATTGGATTTTAGGGAAAATGCACTCAAAATGCATTATTTAATGCCTTAATTTGATCCAGAATTTTCACGGTACAGTCTAATAAATAATACTGTAAAAATTGCGACATAATATTTTGCGGAAAATAAGGATTTTACTGTAAAATGTATTTTAGGGAAAATGCATTATTTTATACCGTAATTTGATACGGAATTTTCATGATGCAGTCTGCCTATGTATGTGTACGGTGTATTCCAGAAACTGTATTAATAGAAATAAGAATGCATAAAGTTAAATAAAATTTTTTAATCCGGCCACAACTGCTTGAGGTCTAAGCAGTTGTGAAGCGTTTTAATAAGAGAAATTTTAAATTAATTATATTATTAGTTTGTTTTATTTGTATGAAATTCTAATGAGTTTTTGTTTTGCTTTGTATTTCTTTTAAGTATTTTCTGAACTCAGTCTTTGGCCCACGCATAAGGCCTATCCATTTTAAATAATGTTTTCTTATGAATTGCAATTAAACTAAAACGTTCTTCCTTAAGAACAGAAATAATACCGAATCAAAGTTGGACGACATGCTCTTTTTTCAATGTATTTTCCGGATTGCATTTTTCTTTTGTACTCTTTGGTTACTTTAAATTTTTTTTTTATTGTTCTATTTCGGTTGTTGCACTTTTGTATTTTTTATTGCTATTCACTTCATTTGAACTTGATAATAGCATTTATTTATTATGTTTCGTACATATTTAAATGTAAATTGGCAAACAAAATAATGCAGTTTCGCAACTTTAGCAAATAGCTTTAATTTGCGATAATTAAAACGGAATAAATTGGTTATAATGAGTAAATATTATAAGTGCAATACATTGTGCTTATGAACATTAAGGAAAAATTCTAATTTGGTGCTCGCAGTTTTTCAAATTGTCTGTTACACAAGTTAAAATTTATATACTTCCTAATTGCAAATGTATTTGTATAGTTTATGACCGTAAATATGAAGTATATCTTCATATCACTATTGAAGGAGACAAAACAAATTTTGTATAGTTATATGAGTGAAAGTTTATAAAAAAGAAAGTTTCATTTATTTATTTATAAATGAATGATCATAACTTTTTAAGTCAGAGCAATGCCTATAGCCAATGTCAGAGCAATGCCAATATTAGCTAAATCTATATAATATCTATGTTTATAACTTCAATTTATCTTTTGTTTTCATTTTAAAAACACAAATATGCTTTGAAATACTGTGCATTCTCTAAAAAATCATTTCAAAATTGAAACATCACTAAAATGAACCATACCATAGTGTCGTGCAAATTTGTCAAAACTGTCTTAAAGTGCAGAGTAGATATTATTTAATTATATTTAAACCATATATCGCGTGATAAAATTGAAGAAGCACGATAATATAGTTAAACTTAGCGTCATATTGAAATTGCTGAAAGTTTTAATGGTGTTATGTTTCAAACATATGCATATTTGAGAAATTTATTTTGTAGAACTGATAAAACCTATCATCATCACTTTGTTTTCATCAACACTTTCAAAATTTAAAAATTAATTTTAATTTCATTCAAAATTTATTGGATTTCATTCAAAATTTAAAAAATAATTTTGAAACAGCACTTTCAGACAATTTGAATATAAAACAACGGAAAGAATAGGCACGACTTGAACAAATATATGAAGGAATTGATCACCTCACTTAGTTTGTAGGGAATTTACACCGTATTTTGGTTCAAGAATTGTTTTAATATTGTCGCTCAATATTAAAACAATTCATTTGAAAGTGAACTTTCTAAATATTTTTTATTACAAAATGGTCTCCAAAAGAAATGATATCGTGGATAATGTGAATTTTAGTGTGGGTGTAACTAAATTGGATGCAAATAGGAATAACATTTAAATTGAGATTTTTGGTATCATGCGTTTGCTTATTGAAAATAGAAACGGCCCTAACAATTTCGTATTTTATTTGACCCTGTATGTAAAGTAAAATAAGAAATATTATGAAAAAACTGGGAGACTTTTGGGTGTAGCTTTGAAAAGCATACATTCATACAGGATGAGCAAGAGAAGTATATATTACTTACAGGATGTAAAGTTGTCAAGGAATCAAATTATATAAAATTTTAAAGAAATATTCCATTAATGTATTTTCAGTAGTGCAAAGGCACTACATATGAGGAAAAAAAACTTTTTTGAGTTTTAGTTAATCAGTTTATTAACTATTATTGGTGCGAGAGTAATGACGATTGCCTATATATTAAAAATTAGAAAGAGTATTTATTAGTTAAACTCTGACTTGAATTTTAAATTTCCTTATTTTATAAAATTCTTCATATTACTTGCACAGTGTAAAAATCCGAATCAAATTACGATAAAAAAGTACTGGCTTCCTGGATGCAGCATTTGTGAAATCCCTTTTTACCGTAATTTTTACAGTACTAACATTTATTAAACTACAATAATCCAGTAATTTTACAGTAAATAGTACTGTATATAAATTTCACTGCAAAAATGGATTTATGCTAACTGGTACTTTTTGACATAGTTTGATTCGAAATTTTTTACAGTGTATTGCTTTTGTTCAAGGAATTCCACTGAGAGCGTTATTATTTAAAAATTTCATTATTTATAATTTTTAATATTTATAATAACTACGTAATTTCTAGCCACATTTTAAAATGATTCAGATGGCGTTTTTGCAGGAAATCAATATGATTCCCACTTAGACGATAAGATATTTCCGTTTAATATGCTTTTGATAATTGGATTTTCCGAGAACGTGTAAAGTATCTTCCTGGAAACAATAAGTAAGATTAGTTTGATTTGAGACTACCATTGTAAAAAAAAAAGTATCAATACAATGCCCCTATCAATACAATGCCCCTGAACCCTAATTATCAATACAATGCCCCTGAACCCGAATTATCAATACAATGCCCCTGAATCCTAATTATCAATACAATGCCCCTGAACCCTAATTATCAATACAATGCCCCTGAACCTTGAATTTAGTTTTCAGTTTCAGAAACATAAGGGTACATATTACTAAGTCAGAAGACAATTTGCTTTAGGAATGATATGCAGGGAAAGGAATACAAAATGGATTTATAGTAAAGGCTTTGGGGGGGGGGGTAGGAAATTTTACTCTGCATATTTCACGTTTGCTCCTAATATTTATGATTATTTTAAACTTGTATTTATTGTACCATTAGTTAAATTTAAAAACTAAGACAGATTTTTTTCTCTCCATTTCAGATTCGAGGCGCTGCAATTGAGCTTCAAAAATATGTGCAAATTAAAACCTTTACTCGCCAAATGGCTGGAGGAGGCAGACAGTACGACGGGCTCCCCGACGTCCATCGACAAGATTGCAGCACAGGGGCGCAAGCGAAAAAAAAGGACCAGCATTGAAGTGTCAGTGAAGGGCGCCCTAGAAAACCACTTCCACAAGCAGCCCAAACCGTCAGCTCAGGAGATAGCCTCCCTTGCGGACAGCCTACAGCTGGAGAAAGAAGTGGTCAGGGTTTGGTTCTGCAACAGGCGGCAGAAGGAGAAGCGGATGACGCCCCCCGTCAACATAGGGGGCGCAGGGGGGCCCGGCACCCCCGGCGAAATGATGCTCACACACAGTCCCCCGGGACATGGCTCCCTCCATTCGCACAGTCCTCCTATGCTCTCCCCCCACGCGCCTCCTCAGAATCACGGCCCTCCACCTCACAGTATGCATGGTCAGTCGCTAGCGGCCCACTGACAAATAGCCCCCTGTTTTGTCCTCCCCACCACTGGTCACCATCATCTGATGCCCGAATGGAAGGACTGAACAAGGACTTTGCACAAATTATACGAAAATATATTATATACATTTCTATACAAAATGTACATATTATACAGACAGAGAGGTGCTCACATTGCCTCGTCAGTTGTAATATAAATTGTAATATATGGGTGGCCCCCAAGAAAAACTCTGTGAAGATGTAAAGAATAATATATTATTATACATATTATATATATAGTGCCAATGATGTCCTTTTTCACTTAAGACATTTTTTAAAAACAAATCACCACTTCGCTGTTGCAAAGTCATTTGTACATTTAAGAGAAATTAAATAAAAAAAAGAAAATACTTCGGCTCAAGTGTTATTTTTGAAGATTACTGAAAAGAACATTGAGAGAGAAATAAGGGTGTAAGAGGCCCTCAACAAAGACTGACCACACTCACTCCACACTTCACGATGCGCCAAGGAGTTGTCTGGTAGCGCTATATCGTCACCTAATTCGAGTGGTGAGTTATATAATTTTTTTTTAAGTTAAAACAATTTTCCCGGTTTATTCGCTTTATTTAAGAGTTTTTTAAAAAAAAACATGCATTATTCATGCTTTAAATGTGATTTTAAACGTCAGAAATTATAAATAGCATTTAAAAAATATCGTAGGCCATACTGTCTCAATTTTCATTTAGTTATAAAAAAGGTATGATATTGAATGAAAAATGAAAATATAAGGAAATAAAATAAGTTTGTACAGATTGATTTATTCACACTTAAATGAGTAAATATTCATAATGAACTAAGATAATAAATACTATAATACAAACAGACATCAATGTTCAATTCAAAAAGTTTTGACTATTTACGCATCTTTACCAATGTTCAATTCATAAGAATTTGTGAGTCACGTATGAAAATGACATTTATGAAGGCGCGTGACAATACAGATAAATATACATAGAATATACATAGAAATTCTGCTTTAAATGTAGATAACATTTAAAACAGATTGTAATTAATATAGTTTTTACAAGTATTCATAAATTAATAATCGAACAATTAATCATCTATGATTATACAAAAATAATTTTAAAAATAATAATCAATGAAACCGTCAAATAATATTAAATGTATTTATATTTAGAGAGATGCTTGTCCTTTTTCTTTTAGTAATGGGAGCTGCAGGTTTTCTTTGCCAGTATTAAATGATGATAAGACACTGAACTGTTATTGTGAATACCACGGGTTTGATTCCCAGTTATGGCTTGAACCTTGCCCAGATTCAGATCAATGGGTAGCAGCTTGTCGGGGAAGTAAAGGCAGTCAGGACTAAATGCTAGCCACATTTATGCCGTTGGTCTTTGTAATTTTGGAGCCTTAATCTCCATGATCCCGCTGACCCACAACGAGTTTTTGCGTGAATGCTTTGCTTTAAAAAAAAAAAAAAATATGATAAAGCGTTAAAATATCTGATTTATGGCCAATGATTTAATTAGTTTTCATAGAAAACTAAATAAATTTTATAATTTATCTCCGGAAGCTTTGAAATATAAAATAGGTAAATCTACTTTTTAAATCAAAATGTGATACCGGCTTATACAAATAAGCGTAACAGAAATAATTATAATGAAATGTAATAAGCATATCGTTATTGATAATAGATTCCTCAATTTCAAGATGAATTTTAAAGTCTGAAGCAAACTAATTTAAATTGTAGTAATCAAACATTTAACAGTTCAAAATACAGAGGGAGTAATATGAATGTTATAAATAATTTATGGTGTAAATAAAGGATTTTTTATGAATAAGATTGAGTTATAAATGAGTGACGCGTTTCATTCTTCGTCATTGACAAGTAGTATTATAATATTAAAAATTAGAAAGAAAAATAATAGAAATACTTTAAGTAATACAGATATTTTAAATAAGAGAGATATGTGACTCAAGTTCTTTAGATACTAGCATTTAATTTTAAATAATTGAAAAAAGGGCAATACGGTTATAACAGTAACTGTAAGCCAGTAACACTTATAACAATAACAATAACTATAAAATAAGGTTTTGAAATACTGTAAAAAGGCCGAAACCTTAAATGGCTTACCAATTCGAAAAATACAAGTATATGATAGTTTCTTTTCGATAAATAATACTCGAATACATGATATTTAGTTATAATGGCGATATTCTATGTAATCGCATATTTTAAAATCGACAGTAATATCGAATAGTCGCATTATCGAATAATATTGAATTGTTAATCATAATATTGAATTACTTCTCGCAATTTCAAATAGTCGTATTATGAAATAATGTTGAAATGTTAATCATAATGTTGAATTGTATCTCGTAATATCAAATAGTCGTATTATCGAATAATATTGAATTGTTAATTATAATATTGAATTACTTCTCGTAATTTCAAACAGTCTTTTTATGAAATAATATTGAAATGTTAATCATAATATTGAATTGTTTCTCGTAATATCGAATAGTTCGAATTCAAGGAACATTGTGTTTCTTAAATTAGAAGCAAAGTTCTAATTTTGAAGTAAGTATTGCAAAACAAGAATCATGTAGATTCGAAAATGGGACAAATAGCTTAAATATTTAATATTATATTTGATAGCATAATATTTTATAAAATATTTATTAAAAAATCGCGAATTTTTCGAGGCTTTCCTCCTTAACTGAAAATTTATAAAATTAATGACTAAATGCCATGCACTATTGGAATAACTTTTCAAATATTAACAAATTAGATCATTAACGCTATTCTTTTTACAAAACTCTGGTTGTTTTTATACCATTTTGCACGATTATCATGATAAGCCTTAAAGGCACCGACTAAAGATAGACTAAATTTAAGTTAAAAGACATTAGCTGTTACAAACTTAAAATAGCCTCATTAAATGTTATTCAATAATTGTTAGCGTTTAATGCTCAGACAATAGAAGCAACTATTTTTTTACTTGTTCAATTGTGGTACAGGCACCCCGCAGGGTAATAAAAAAAAGAATTGGTAGTTAAAAAAAAAAGAGAAAAATATAATGGTAAAAAGAAAAAAGAATTTTTTTTTTATGAAATTTCTAAATCAAAACTGTTTATGAACTGTTTATGTTTATGAACCTTTTCAAATCTGTTTATGAACTTTTTTAATCAAAACTGCTTATGAACCTTTTTAATGGGTTTAATATATAGGTTTAATTGTGAAACCGGCTTCCTGCAAGGAGATATAGCACACGTATTTGTAATACAATTTTTTTTACGATGCGCTTAATAGGAGCCTCTCAGAACATAAAGAAATAACATTATATAAAAAGGTAAACATAATACAAAAAAGTGAAATATTTATTTATTTTATTTTATAGCCGTCGTTGAACAGCCGACCCAATTTTGAGTTCAGGACTACTAATGTTCAACTCAATAGTCTTATAATTTTGAACACGATCTAGAAAAAAAGGGATTTTTTTCTAACCTAGGATCAAGTGTAGGCAGAAATTTTGCCTTCGTGGAGGATGTTTGATGGAACTAACCTGCATTTGCGGTACATTGAAATTAAAATGACGTAAACCTCCCATGATTAGTCTGACGACAAAGGGACTCTAAGGCACGATCCGTCTACTACTGAGGATATATTACGGCAGCACTGTGGTCGGTGCGAGCCGGGTGCGGAATTCATATCGACCAGTCATCGCTGAGATTCGAGCCCGGTTCACCTCATTGGCAAGCAAACACTCTATCCCCTGAGTCACCAGGGGACAAATATTTATTCAAGAAATTTCTCAAACAAAATATTTATGAACTTTCAACGAATTTTTAGTGGGTTTAATAAACTGCTTTCAATAATGAAATTGGTGCCCTGCAAGTATCTATAGCTCGCGTGTTCCTAGTATTATTTTCTTTTTTTTTTCATCGCGTTTAATAGAGTTTGTCTGTGAACATAAAGAAATGATATTAGGCAAAAAGGAAAAAAAAAAAAATTTTAAAAAGTGATTTTCTCTACCAAAACTTTTTATGAACAGTTTAAGAGTTTATAATGGGTTTAATGTTTGGGTTTTAATTACTCTCAACAAGGAGCTATCTGGTGCGTATTTGTAGTAATGTGCTTTTTTTTCCTAGCGTTTAATGGAATGTCTATAAAAGCATGAGGAAATGGTATTGGGTGAAAAAGCAAAAATATTATGCAAAAAGAGAAAGTGAAATATTTATTTAAGAAATTTCCCAGTTAAAACTCATTACAAGTACAAGTTTTTAATGGGTTAAAAAAAAGGGTTCAATATTAAAACCGGAGCCCTGCGATGGTCTATAGCACGCGTATTTCTTGTATTTTTTCTTAACGTGTTAAATAGAGTGCCTTTAAAACCATAAAGAAATGTTATAATGTAAATGAAAAATGTTATGTAAAAGTAAAATAATTATATAAGGAATTTCTCAACCAAAACTGATTATGAAGTGTCTGCAAATACAACTTCAACTTTATGTCATTCATTTTGATGAGATTAATGGGCTACTGCATCATGCAAATTGATTGCATACGTCATCCATATGTAAACAATTTTTTTCTTATCATCTCTTACAAAATGTATCCGTCATCGCTAAGCTTTACAACTTCCAAGTTACGCAAAAATACACAAAGTTTGACAAATAGTTTATACTATCAAAACTTTACTCGTGAATAACAATTTGTTTTGAGTTTGATTTTATATTGGATGATTATATTTTAGTATTGGGTCCTTCAACTATGTAAAATGAAAAAAAAAAATACACTGTTAGAATTTTCATTTTAAAATTATGGTAAAATAACTGGCAGCTGTCTGTCCATCCGATTAACCTTTAAATTTACGGTGAAGAACATTTTTTTTTCCTTTATGGTTTTTTAACCATTTACAACTAGCGTTTTTCAAAAACGTAAAGAAAAAATAATTATTTAACTAGACATAGGATCTTGGCTTTTCGTAAAGTAATGGGCATTGGATAGTGCTGGACATTGGAAATTCTTCATTTGTTGAAAGGAATTGAGGAAATATTGTGGTGTTAGCACTCGAACTCCAGTTCTGTCCATGGGTGAAAGTGAGACGGAAAAGAGGAAAAGCTGGTAGTAAAACCATTTCAGTTTTAACATGTTTTCATCCAAGCTATACCATCAAAACATTACTCGTAAATAACAATTTGTTTTGAGTTTGATTTTATATTGGATGATTATATTTTAGTATTGGGTCTTTCAACTATGTATAATGAAAAAAATATACTGTTAAAATTTTCCTTCTAAAATTATGGTAAAATAACTGGCAGCTGTCTGTCCATCCGATTAACCTTTAAATTTACGGTGAAGACCATTTTTTTCCTTTATGGTTTT